CGTTTTCTACATTTGTGTACTTTGAACTATAATAACACCAGTAAATATTATTTGCACCCTAAAAAAATTATACCGTCATGATCAGGACTAAGGGCCGTTTGCACCATGTCTACTTAACGCTAACTGGAGGTACATCCTTCAGTTAAGCACGTTAACTGCTTTATCGATCACATGTTATATGATGGGTGTCGATAACGTCGATAAACATGTTTAACTGGGAGTTAGAATTAACTAGACATGGTGCAAACGGCCCTAAGACCCCTATCGATCCTAATATTATTATTTTTAATAAGAGCAATGTATGTACGTATTGTACACTTATACTCCCTAATTATACGCACTTATTTGTGGTGTATTTTTTTAACGTATGGTAGCATACATTTTGTGTTACTGTCAGCCATTGTTATTTCTGCTTGTTTGTGAAATGTGCAAACGTTTGTGAAGACATTTATAAACGCGTTTTACTTAATTAATTAATTAAGAATTGTATATTAAAGTGGAAATCTCAGGCCGGGGTTTTAATGCAACTATTTTGCCGAAGTGTGTACATAAATATAGTGTTTATTGTGTGAAATAGCCCCAAGAGGTTAGTTCAATTTACAAACTTTAACAACAAATAACTTAAAAACTATAAGCCTGCTGCGGCTAAAAGTATATATATTTGCAATCAGGAGAACTCCCTCTACCGTTCCATAGCTACCTTAATGCGGAACTCCGGGGATGCCAAACTAAATTGCATCCAAAAGAAAAATAAATATAACTGCAAGTCCTGTCAACTGGTGTCGCGTCAATCGAAAAGAAATTACAACTTTGTCAAGTTTTTCAAGTTTGTCGCCTCGAGCGAGTGGCGCAGGTTTGATTTACGACCCTTTAAGAAACAGGTTGTAACACGAAAAGGCTTTTTGGCATTGCTTTTTATTAAATAAAATGTCGCAATTTTTAAATTCAAGCACTAAATAAAAAAAGAAACATTATTAAAAAACTGTTAACTTTTTAATTTTTCCTTCACCTAAATCACCTAATTTACTCACCTAAAACATTTCTTAAAAACACTTGACATCCGCATTCGCATCCGCATCCGCGTTCGCATCCGCGGATGTCTAAAATTCCACATTCGCAACATCCCTAGTATAAATATACACACTCATATGTATATCTTCTTCTTCTTTTTTGGCGCTGTAACCGTCTAAGCGATTTAGGCCGAGTTCAGCAAAGCACGCCAGTCGTTTCTCCTCTGTGCCAACTGACGCCAATTGGAGACGCCAAGTGAAGCCAAGTCCTTCTCCACCTGATCTTTCCAACGCAGAGGAGGCCTTCCTCTTCCTCTGTTACCACCAGCGGGTTCAGAGTTGAATACTTTCAGAGCTGGAGCGTGGGTGTCCATTCGAACGACATGACCAAGCCAGGGGAGCTGCTGTATTTTAATTCATATGTATATGCTTATTGAAAATGTGTGAAGTTTTTGGTTATCCCATTTGTGAACAAAGTGAGTTCAACCCTAGAAGAACTTTATGGATTCGGCATCTTCTCGGCCCTCGTTAGCCGCGGAATTCATGAGGAATTTCCGGCCCCCATTTCACCCCGTCCCGAACATGATCCTTCGAGCCGGATCGGCTTGCAGTTTTTTCATGGTTGAACCACATTTGCATAAAAATAAAATAGCATGATACAATAATTTTTAGAAGGAAGTTTCACTTCAAAATTTTTGACATAAACTGTGTCTGTGACAAAGGAGCAATGTAGCCACTGCTACGATATAGAACTTAGGGATTATCGCTTGTTATTTTAGATATTTTTTAACAGAACATGTAAAGATTTATATGTTTCATAACTGATCACTTAATTTTTAATATAAATATACGTATTTTATACATACATTTTTGCCACTGCTAATCACATGAATAAAAATCATAAAAATGAAAATATGACAGCAATATTTCTTGTTTATAATGGATTAGATCCATCGCACACCACGGACTTTATCGGCCGCCAATTTAGATGTGCTCGCTAGTCTTTCCATTGCACCACAACCTATTGGTCAGAGCGATTAAGCTGGTGTAGTGTGCGCACCTCCATACATCTTCATGTACATATTTCAAGCGAGCCCTATCATTTAAATAGGCGGCCGATAAAGTCTGTGGTGTGTCCTTAGAATTTGTACCAACACAAATTATGGGCCATTCAGACATGGCTTCAGACGGAAAGTTTCTAATAAAATACTCTACGAAAAATGTAAAATCGAGCGCATTGATCAATTTATGATAAAATCTGCATTGAAATATGTTAATAAGTTAAAAATTTATAAAAATAAATTGATAGAAAAATACTGTCTTAAGGAGAGCTCTATTAGCTTTCCATTTGAAGAAACATACTTGCCTCCTATTTATTTGAACGTATTAAATAATAACAATGCCTTGTTCAAAGAAAAAAAACTTCTCTTCTATCATAGAAAGTATAATACTCTAAATTTAACTGATACTGTATATAATATAAATCAAAATAATTTCGAAGTAAAACAAAGTGTTGTATACCCTTTAGAATAAGCCTTTTGTAAATATACTTCCTACTATCCCCCCTTCTTCTTAGATCTAAGTTATTTTTTAGTTTTTACAAAATATTAAAAGAAAATCATTTTTTTTAACTTTTTATGGATACATTAAATTGAAAAGAAATATTCATTGAATATAGCCAAACCACATTATTCTAAACCTTAAATAAAAACTATGAGCACTCTTAGATAAGTACTATGGTACGTTAAAAAACAAATGTATAGTATGTAAGATTATTGCAAAATGTATTTATATGAAACAATTACTCAATAAAGCAAAGAATTTCTTGGTCTGTGGTGTGCGGTGGCTCTTATAGCTGTGTCTTTACATCTATTCCGTGTGTTGCAATATCCACGAAAGCAGCAGTTAATTTTTTATGAAGAAAATTATTACAAAATATTCGAAAATTTCTCTACTTATGTTTGGCTTTTCTTTCTTTTATTTTTCCAATGTCAAAAGTTGGGTTTTTTTTTTTTTGAAAAAGTTGGTACAACAAAAAATACGAAACACGTTTTCTGTCAGATAGCTAACATGGCGGATAAGAAGAAGTGAAACTACCTTCTAAAATTATTGTATCATGTAAAATAGTGAAAAATCCAAACAATTTTTAGAGAAATAAATATTTTTTCAAAAACTGACCTTGAGACTTGATTGTTATTAGTGCAGCGCTACAATAATTGTGAACTGGCGAGGTTTATATCTATACAAAAGGAAGTGTTAATTCGCTAAGCTGTTAAATTATATGGTGTAACAAAATTCGCTTCCCTTGTGATTCATATGTTTAAAGTCCATTTACTAGCCCTTTATATCTATGTAGATATTTGTATTGCGGCTAGGGTTGTTCCGATACAAGTAAATACGAGTATGTACTCGATACTTTTGTTTCCATACCAACTACTTTTTTTACTCGAATCGTTGCTTCGAAAGAAAAGTACTCGTATCCAATCGGTTTGATCAAGTGCCATATCTCGTCGG